AGAGATGGATAAAGAGATGAGACAGAGAAACTGGTACAGACACGAAAACCTACACACAGAAAACTGATGGCTGGAACACGACAGAGAGCTTAATACATAGAAGGAGAAGAAGAAGAAAATTATGGATCTCGTGGCACAAGAGAGAAATGAGCAGAGAGAATGGATAAATAAGAAGATTCGGTGGGGGAGGCAATGTATGAGGAGAGAGAGATGTGGAAACATATGATGTCAAAAATTAGACTGAGAGACACAAAGAGTAGAAAAGGAAAGAAAATGGAAAAATAAATTACAGCCGACAGGATAGAAGAATAGGAAATGTAGAGATAAACTGGAAGAGGGAGATTTACCAAGTAACGACGCAATATAAACAGCAAGCTTTTATTGGTTTTGAGCTGTGCCGTGCTCTAACATTAAAGGGGTTAGGTAATGAGAATGGCGAATTATGGGTTGATAGGGATTGGGTTGAAATCGCTCACGGTCCTATTTTATGGTTCCATCCGAACGATGGACTTGATGTAATTGAAAAGAGGAAGAAGGGGCGTGTACTGCCTACATTTTACGTCCATGTCTTATCGCAACACAAAGTTCGTGTCTGCAGATCCAACATAAGTACATATCCCATTCATGAGATGATAAAGTTGCGTCATATTGTGATAAATATATATTTGTTTAAATCTTGTCAGTCTAAACACGGCAATACTTCCAGACGGACGTAACTCCTCCACAACTTCATTTCTGGATGATACAAAAACAACAACAAAACGTTCACCCACACAAAATCATGTTAAGCACGACGTACATATACAGAACAACTTCGAATACGATATTAAAAATACAATAAAATCTGGAAGAAAACATCATTTGAAATCTGATAAACATCTGACTAAAAGTTGCATTTAAGAAATTATATTTAAGTTTATATAATTTTATACACCTGAAGATGGTTCTTTTAGAACTGAAACATGTCGTGTAAAAAGTGATGATTTAATGTAAATCGAACATTTCGATAGAGAACATCATTTAATATATTTTAAATATTTAAATGTTAATTATAGTAATATTTTAATATTTAATAGGAATTTTATTGTGATTAGACTGACAAGATTTAAACAAATATATACATATCCCACTCAAGCAAAACTGGTGTTACCATAAGGCTCAAGAGTTACATCCTGAAGGTACTGGGTTCTAAACGTGTCCCGGATAACATATTATAAATTTAGTTTTCGTGGTTTAACTCAGTCCCAGTGTAGTTATCACAATTTATGATCGTGATAAAAGTTTTTTGTTCGGTTCAGAATGGCAACAAAAGTGTAATAGTTACATATTTATGTATTTATTTATTGATAGAAAGGGCACGAAGAAATCGTTCTTAATTTTCTTTGATTATGACACTTACAAAAAGACGGGCAACGAGTAACAAACAATGGATATCAAGAGAACATGAATTATATTCTGTAACTGAGAAATTGCAACATCAGTTCGGGACACGATGCAGTTATGATCATTGTTCATGCACTTTATCTACAAGGTTGTTATCAATGCTTGGTCAATTTATCGACATACTTTAAGATTTCTTGAACGTCCTATATTTTTTTAAAAAAAAAAATATACCGATCGACGAGAAACCTGCTGTCACAATTCTGTTTCTCCCAGGGAACCTCAGATACGATATAAGATTGAAGGCGGTTTAAGAGACAGTTTTATACGGACAAATTTTTAAGACACTGGCCAACACCAAAATCAAAATTATGTTCTTACAACAAAATTTCACTACATTAATAAGACTGTTCTGAACTAAAAGCATTTCCCTCTTTTGTGAATTAGGCGAATAAAAGTAAATGTTTTTGATTTGTCCTTTCTGCTTTCTGACTCACAATTCAGAAGATAAAATGCTGTCGATTTGACCTGCATCTCTCGTCTCTCTCTCTCTCTCTCTCTCTCTCTCTCTCATTCCGTCTACCTCAAAGCTTTAAGTACGGGCTGTCGGGATTCCTCAGCACCTACCTTGCTCGCTCACGCCTTGCCGACACTTCGCTGCCAGGAGGCTGACCCGCCCTTGTCGCACGTGGTAGCTTCCTTCATCTTCAGACTAAGCACTCAGCACTTCATGAATCTAACTTCAGCCACTTCGCGATATCTAAGACATCTTCCGACACACGCTCTTCAGTGTTTCTGCCCGTTACTAAACAATCACTGCCCGGAATTTAAATCTTGCTGTGATGTGTTATTGTTTCATTTGAATACGTTGCACTCGTGATAAAGTTCAAAACTTAATTTGATCCGACCAAGAACATGCGGCTGATGACAAGGAACATTTATCTGAAACAAAGGAAACCAACTTCGATTTAGTTATTTTTCTTTCCATATGAACGGAGTTTTCCTCCGTGGCATCCCAACAATTACTCCATTCACACACAGAAGAAGGCAATGGCAAACCACTTCTGGATCATCTGCCAAGAACGTATATGAACAGATCCCAGTCCGAGAAAAGGATGGAAGGATCCTGTTCATATGGACCTGTCCTCAGACAGAACACTAAAATAAATAATAAATAGGCCTATTAACAATACTCTACGTTTGCTAATTCTCTCGTTCTATAAGTTTATTTCTAGCTCTATTTTTGCACATTTAAGTCGGGTTCGGAAACTATTAAAAACACGAAAAGTTTGCCTATATTTCAGGCGGCAGACCTGTTGTTATTTCGTCAGAAATAACAATAGTAAATCGCCCTGCGCCATTGCACATGAACAAATTAAACTACAGCCATTACGTCGGACGCTCGTTGTTTCTTCTTCTATAAACACATTTTTGTCTGAATAAATAAATTCAGGTGCAAGAGCTAATGGCCGATTTTAATCTCTCCAGAGCTAAATTTGTTCTTGTCCCTTCTTCATCCTGTAAAGCGCTACCATGGGAATTAGATGTGTATTTTAATTAACGTCCACCGACGCTGTCAGGCGGGAATAAAATACGGCGTGGCCATAAGCAGAGGACAAATCTGTTTCAATGTCCAGAAACCGTGCGAGGGGGTACCCAGACAAGAGAATTTCACATTAACCTGGCTTTTTCCTATAAAGAATTCCAGCAACACACACAAGATACAAATCTGTATATCTACAAAGTTGCAAGCAGCCAACGATGGTCAACATTAACATTCAATCTAACTGATTAATTAACGGGACGAAGGAGTGGGTGAGTGAGTGACTAAGTAACCATCGCTGCCGAGTGGTGGGTAATTCCACTTCGAGTTCGGGACGTTCCGTGTTCGAATCTCGGAAAAGAGACTGGCTACCCTCACTGAAAGTTTCCGTGATATTCCTCAGGTCCTGTAGGAAAATTCCAGAATAAAACTTAAAATTAGGCCACGGCCTCTTCCTTTCCAATACCTTCCTATTCATTTGATTATTCAACCTTCCATTCATCGCTAAATGCCTACAATTTGAGCAACTCACAGCGTCGTTCAGTGAATCATAAATAAATAAATTACGAAAAATAAAGCGGCCGAACGTTGGCACTTATTGGTTGGTACTCCTGCGTCGTATTTAGGAGGTCCCGGGTTCAAATTTTGGCCTAAGAGACCGGCTATCCTGGGCGAAAATCTTCGTATATACTCAGTCACTCTGGACAAATGCCAGAATAATATGGCACATTAAATTGGACCACGAACGTGGGGAGTAATTATGAACATGGTAATAGATCTTTGGAGTCCATAAAATAAGATGAATTTCTTAAGTAGCTAAGCTACTATTAGCTTCTCAACAAGGATGTATTTCATGGAGTCAGTTAGTTATATAATTAAGGACACACCGACATGGACGTAAGTTCATTATTTGATCATCAGTAAAGTTACATTATTTCGTTATATCGCCATTCACAATTAAATCAATCCAAATCGTTAATGACGCATTGCGTCTCTAAACTTCGCTTGTAAATTAAATTACAATATTTTAGTGCTATCCCTGCTGTCTGCTAATTCAAACTGTTGAAATCATTTTAAAAATAGAATTCGATACAAATATTTTCAGCATTCACCCTTTAAATAGCATTTGCATACGTAATAGGAAATATCCATCAATTTTCTCATCGAGCTCAACGGTTAGCAGTACGAACATTTGACACGTTCACACTCCGCGGTGTCCCAACTTGACAGGCAGGCGTGCGTTGGCAGAATCATCAAGACATGGCTGGCACTGACCATAACGCCATACAACAGCAAGTTTATTTAAAAGTCATCTCTTTATTCATTTATATATATATATAATCAAAATCACAAATTCATGTGTTTAACATGATTAAGTGTTACGATTGCAAAATAACCGAGCATAGCGGGTGATTGTTTAACAATTTTGCATTTTTTATTGGGATGTCTATGTTTCGATTCTCGGTCTGGAATAACACCTTAGTACTTTGAATCACTGTGGTAACTATGTGTACCATCTGCTTTAACGATCAATAACTCTTCATTTTGTATTTGTGGGTTTCGTGTGATTTTCAAATCGAACATCTATTGTCCCCCCCCCAAAAAAAAAGCATGAACCAGTTAATTTTGTTTTAAAGACATATTTCCTTTGAGCACGAAATATAGTTTACAAATATAATGTAGATGTACTTCATGAATCAAAGTGTTAACACATTCCGTGATCTCTTCCTTCTAGATCCTTTCCAATTCACTGTCCACAGCATCCTGCCACCTGATGCCACACAAAACCTTCGAAGCGAAAACAATTTCTTTAAATAAACTAGGGTAACAAAGCAGTCCACTCAGACATATATTTAGTCCTGCGTTGTAAAAGTCTGGAAATTGAGTTTTGGTGCAAAAAAAGAAGAACAGAGTTTTATCTACGACTTTATACAAATTATCAAGTCCCCTTCTGTATTATACACATTTGCAAACAAAGATCTACACCTTTCCCGTTACATTCTATCAAATTTCAATGGTATCAAGGTAAGAAATAAATAAAGCAGGCCTATAATAAGTAATATATAAACTCTCAACACAGCTACAAGTGGATGGAAAACAGCAAGAAAGAATCAAGAATTTTCTGCTCATTCTATGACTCGATGACCAGGGCCTCGATTGTGATATTACGGAAAATGATAAAATGTGCAGCTATCATTAATCTGCAAAAGGTCACAGAACACTCAAACTGCTGCATCTTCTACCGGGAAATAAACAGTGTAGCTATAAGCGTACTAAAAAGAAAAAAAATACTCACTTGTGTTAACTACTGACATCAACTCCCACGTGGCAATCACAAAACCGCCTTCATAACAGAACAACGTTCAGTACACCCTTCATTTTTCTTTTAAGAAATTAAGAATATCGTAGCAATTGGCTTCTATTGCTCATACACTAAGACTTAAACACCGAGGTTGCTGAAAAGAAACAAGTGTTCAATACGAAAGGCAAGAAACATCCGACGAACACAACACGTGCATAAAATATAAATTGCCGCTTAAAGCGAAATAAAGTCTTTCCTTTTTCACAAAATTTGTCACGCACGTTGTTAGATTAGACGACGAAGACACGACGACGATCTGCATACAATGTTGCTCCCTCCATAAAATAATAACAGCTGGCTGCAACTGTCCTGTCAGCGGTTAGAGACACACAATGAACCTTCCCGCTTCCTTGCTCCGTCACAAACTAGAATCTCTGGCCTGCTGTTACGGGTTTCTGTACTCAAGAGCGGGACAGAGCTCAGCATCCGTCTCTTTCATTCAGTGGTTTGGTGATCTACCAGATCGGGAGCTTTCGCTCGAGAGGAAGGAGGAGGAGGAGGATTTACTGCTCTTTGGACCAAACTATATCTTCTATTTCTTTCACACTTCCACATTTACTATCAATCTGTCTTCTTCTTTCAACCAATGGACCAACGGAGAAGAAATGACGCACCTTCCTATTCTCTTACATTTTTTTTTTCCATTGATGTGTGTGTGTATGTGCGTGCGTGCGCCTCTCTCTCTCTCTCTCTGTCACTTCACTTGCGCAATGACGCTCGGTATCCATCGTCGATTTTCGGATACATTCGTTCATGTTCGGAGATGACTGAGATACACATATATATTTTTAAAGAGAAGAGATGAGAAACATAAGCATAAATGCTGGGATATGGACCAGTAAATGGTATGGTGTACTATTAGGGAAGAACGCGCCCTTGAAGCCGAAGCGAGAGCAAACAAATTGAGTTCCATAGGTCACAGAAACGAAATAAAACGTCATGCGTAGTGTCTGTGAGGTGCGTATGATCGGTGGTCGCCGGAAATTTACTTGAATATATGATAAAATTGTATAAAAATAGTCTAATTAAGACCTCTGCCCTTTGGGTAATCTCCAAATTCTTTTAGGATGATCAAATCAAGAAGGATGATATAACTGGGGGCATGTAGCACGCATGAGGGGATGAGAAGTGAATCCGACATTTTGGAACGAACGCCTGAAGGGGAGGATAACATTAATATAGATCTTTGGGAAATGGGGTGAGATGGTGTGGACTGAATTCATCTGGCTCAAGATGGACCAGTGTCATACACTTGCGAACACGATAATAAACCTTCAAGTTCCGTGACAGGCGGATGAATTTAATTAGATGAGCGTTCTCAGTCTCTCTCAAAAAAAAAAGCACTCTGCTCCATGAAGTTAGTTCAATAAGATAAGTCCAATTCCTCGTTCTTAATACCACTGTCGCCGAGTTTCTGAAGTGTCACATAGCCCAGAAATGCACTGAAGAATAAACCCTACTTCTCGTGGAGATACTAGGCCTCTGAAAATCTTAAGTCCCACATCCGATTTTGCAATTTGTCAAGGTAGACCAGGCACCGTGGTATAGGAAGGGTGAGGGTTGTAAGACGCTTTTCTGCAGGGCGTCTGCCGTTCGCTGCAACACGGAAATGTCTCGTACGCATCACTTCAGTAGCTTATTTCCTTCCTCACAGGGTATTCGCTAAGTTAAGAAATCACAGACCACAAAATGTTCGACTATCTTCGTGGCGGCAAAAATGATAACAAACCCCGGTGCCTAACAGACCCCTACCAACATTCCTTCCAGAACTCGTCACAACAGTGTTACTCAAAGTCTGGACCGCGGACAGCAACCGGTACTCAAATTTTTGTTCGCAAACAGCCACATTGTGTTCTTCCCTTACTTACATATATAGCCGAGTACTGAACAACGCGCATCGTCCATTTCTAACAAATCTCTTCCTTCCTCCTTCGGTAATTTTAACTTCGCTACGCCCCTGGATGTTTTGCGCTAATGTTTCCCTCCCCACTGCAAGAAACAGGATTCCGTTTCCAACGTCGTCGTAAGAGACGGAGAGCTCATGCTTCTACCTCCTATGCATCTTACTCCTTCATTTCTTCAAGACCTGCTTTAAGTATTCCAGAACATCTCTGGAGTAAACTAGGAAATACAAGTTCTGCCAAGAAAAGAAACTTGGAACGAAAACTTGAAATGTTTTCTACTTAAAGGGTGGACGGAAGGCAAACTTACGAAACAGAAAAAAAAATACATAATTTAGTTACCTTTCTTTGCACAGAATTTTCGCTAGAGTTATGAAACCAGGAACTGACAAATACAACGAAAAAAGGCTGACACATCCCGTCGCCGTATTCCCATAGAGAGTTCCCAGTTGCGTGCTTTGAGTTATGATCGGATCTTAAAGAAACACACATTCAACTGCAGTACTGATCCATTCTTTGCAACTTCCTAAGAGAGAACAGAAAACGTAGCCTACTTTACACCAAATACTACCGGGGCTATCAAATTAAGGAATATGAGATCGGCGGAGAATGTGCGAAGCATGGATGAGATATGGGAGGATAATATTAAAATAAATCTTAAAGGAATCAGGTTTGTGGGTTCACCTAGTTCATGACAGGGACTTATAGCGTACTCTTGTGAACTTGGTAATGAGTCTTCGGGTTTCATAAAAGGCGAGGAATCTGTCGTCTAGCTGAACGTACTATCAGCTTCTCGAGATGGGACTCTGCTCCATGGGGTTATTTAGTGACCGACCTCCAAACGCATGTACAATGTCAGTCTTTGGCGATGTAGAAGAAAATAACAGAGAATGGTGAAGGGATGGAGACAGGATAGAGGAGAACAGACAACAACAACTAAGTTTGATTTGGTAGGGGGAAAACCTAAATTAAATTATTACACGCTGCATCAGAATTTAGCCAGAAGCCACTTTTATGAGGACTCGGTATCGAATTCTGGAACATTCCGGAGGAAGCAACACTTCATAGTCTCCCGCATTAATCCATAATGAGAGCTCCCTGCATTTAAGGAAGTTATGTGGGCTATGGGCGGCGACCCATCCTACGCCCACAGCACCGCATGCACCTGGCGTTGGGGCTGGTCAACTCATCACTGCCTTCTTAATTACGGGTCACTCAGGTACGCGAGTCTCGTCCCAAGAACCTCTCAGTCTGCATATGAATAAAGCTACTTTACGTGACACTACGCGGCCGTGCAGGGCGGTCCACATCATAACGTCACAGCAAACAGCATGAGTCATGAATCGTGCATCGTGTTCGGGGTACTCTGATTTCGTTCTCGCCTCGAAGGCCAGCTATCCTCACTCATGTTTCTCTTGGTTCTTCTCAGTCCTCCCAAGTAAATGCTAGGATAATGTGCTTCCTTTGTCATGTCTTTCCAGTCCATCACTTCTTGTATCTTGCCATTCGCGGCTATACAGTTGATATAAATAAGTGAACAAGTGTGGGCGATTAACGATCCCAGCAAGTGGAGCGTCTACGATACACTGTACAGTTGATTACTAACTAACTAACTAACCAGAATGCGTCTTGTAAAGTAAATAGTGCCCTCAGCTCGTCATAAAACTCGACGCCTTTTATAGAAATCGAAGGTTCATTATCGTCTTCACAGAATGTAAATGCATTTCATAACGCCCAGCTAAACACAATTAGCAATCTGTAAACAAATACGTTTCAGGAGCTCAATTCTGCATTTTAATATGGGTGTGAAACTTGGTGTCTCGCCCTAATACTAACTTGCCAGGATCTACCTGGAACTATTAGTAGTCTGTAGTCACTAGTATAACTATCGCGAGCCTTCTGTTCACGCAGACCACGTGTTGCTACACTTCAAGACAGCAGGGCAGATCTTCAGCGGAAGGGGAAGACGGCACGTATGAGAGCGACGGGGATGTGAATAAAATTTATAGCTGTAACATCAGTCAAGATGTTCAACTCTGGTTTAAAATAAAAATAGATCACTTCCCGATCCCCGCCCGCGCCTTTTCTTCAATTCCTAAAAACCTCAGCCAGCTACGCACAAAGTTCGATTTCTTTCGGATGTTAATGCAATGAGAAAAAATTTGCAACACAGACCCGCCTCACACTAAACAGTATTCATCGTACTAACGAAAGTTATTTCAAAATTTTGCACACGCTATCAAAAACCCCGGACGATTCAGCAAAGCGCAATCTGTAATAAATATAAACTAGTTTAGAAAGCCGATTAAATTCGATAATAAATAATTCATCCTGCCTTTTCCGTCATCCATTTTGTACCTTTTCTATCTCCTTTCTCCATTTTCCCCTTTAGTACTTTCTCATTTCTTTTATTTGTCCCTTCCTGTTGAGGTCACTAAATTACGTAAATTCCCAAATTATAAATTAAAAATTCACTAATGAGAAAATAAAAGTTCCGCTGTCCTTGTCTCAAGCTTTTACTGCTTATCACTCTGACTTATTCACTTTCATCCCATTCTTATCAGGATGAGTGGGCATTGGCTGGGAGCCTTCTAAGAATAAGACGCTATTACTCGATTTCTCTCTCTTTACTGCTATTCTTCTAACATCCTTCATAATTATCTCTCTATTAAACTGTGTTTTATATGAGAAATACATGGAAAAATACTGATGTGACAATACGTAATAAATAAATAGCAAACTGACGAGACAACAAAACGAAACTGAACAAGAACTGTACTGTTACCACACGCTGAAAACTATTGTTCTCGTAGGATTTCGAAATTTTCCAGCACACTTGGACACACACCGGCTGGGAAGCATTGCAATAAATAATAGTAATAATACGTGTCGTTTAACATGACAGCATCCTCAAGCCATACTGATATTCCTGTCACGGGGGGGGCAAAAGAGGTCTTTGTTTCTGACAAATATTTAGAAGAGTGAAATATTTCTGCATTACGCAAAAGTTTGTGTTGCAGAAAACTAAAGTCTTTAAACGACATGACATAAATGTTGTATCTTGATGGTGATTTCATCATCCTATTCTTTCCTTTGCTTTATATTTCCCTCTGTTTGCCCATTTTCTTTCTTTAAATCTCTTTTCTTCTAACCCTCTTGTTTGTTTCTTTCTCTCCCTATGCGTTTCCTTTTCAATTTATTCCTAATGTATTAAAATCAATTGAAAATAACACATCTCAAAACAAAAGTTGGATATAGCAGCAACCATCCTGAGTTCAAAACCCGGGAAAATACAGTCCCAACCTGGGGACACTTTCGAAAACCAGAACAAATCCCGTTCGCTGCACCAGATCTCGAAACAACTTCGCGAGTGGAATCCTGCATTCACATGCCTTTCTGAAAGTTCCTCACCATTTGAATTAATGTGAATGCGTGGTCGACTATGTTTTATTCACATCGCGATTCTGATAGCATACTGAAATA